TAAAGCAGCAGCTGTGCAGCGGTGATGCTGTATCAGGATTAAATCAGGACCGAAGTCATTATTCATCTGGCCTGTGAGCGTTTCCTCGAGCCATGTGAAATAAAGTGTGCTGTAAATGGCCTGGCCTCGGCATGGGAAGACATGGTGCTTTTATAGAAACTAGAAGGTAAGTGTGGAAGTTTAATCAGTCAGACTGTGTCGGCTCATTCTTACACTCTCCTATAAGATCTACAAACGCACACTGGAAACACAAATCAGTATTACTACACAATAAGAAATTAGCAAAAAAATTTAGGAAAAAATAAAATGTATAATCTGCATGTTATGTAAATTACAGCTTTGTGATATCTCATTGACACATTATTAGCTAGTATTAATTATAGTAGTTTAAATACTTAAATAATGAGATTGTATGCTCTTAACTATAGTGTATATAAAAAGTCTACACACCCCTTTAAAATTGCAGGTTTTTTGTGATGTAAAAAAATGAAACCAAGCTATATCATATCATGTCATGTAATAAGAACATTTTCCACCTTTAGTGAAATAGCAGCCAATAAAATTGTGCAAAAAAAAGTGTGCGCACCCTTTTATAATGGGGCATATGATTGTGCTCAGCATTAAGCAATCACATTCAAACTCTTGTTCAAAAGTAATTATCATACACCTGTCATCAATGAAGTGATTCTGATTAACTCCATATAAAGATTAGCTGTTTCTGTAGAATTTTCTTGACAGCTTCTTAGTTTCATCTGACTGCTGAAGCCAAGAAATCAATCAAGAGAGGGGTACAAAAGAATTTCCAAAACATTAGATATACCATGGAACACCGTGAAGGCCATCATCAACAAGTGGAGAAAATGGTGCACCACAGTGACATTACCAAGAACAGGACATCCCTCAAATGTTGATGAAAGGACAAGATAAAAAAATTGTTAAGGACGATGCCAAGAGACCTACAGCAACATTAAAGGAGCTGCAGGAATATCTGGCAAGTATTCGTCACTCCCTGCATGTAACAACAATCTCTTTTATTCTTCACATGTCTGAGCTAAGGAGAGGGGGGCTAGACAGAAGCCCTTTCTCATGAAAAAACATCCAAGCCCACCTATATCACCCCAAACCATGTGGCGATATGTATTATGGTCTGATGAGACCAAGGTAGAACTTTTTGGGAATAATTCTACAAGATGTGTTTGGTGCAAAACAAGATAGCTTATCTCCAAAGAAAATGGTGAAGCACGGTGGTGGCAGCATCGTGCTATAAGGCTTCTCTTCAGCTGGAACTGGAGCCCTAGTGAAGATAGAGGGAATCATGAATAGATCCAAGTACCAATCTATTTCAGCACAAAACCTGCAGGCTTCTGTTAGACAGCTGAAAAAAAATTCACCTTTCAGCACAGAAATGACCCAAAGCACAAATCCAAGTCAACAAAGGAATGGCTTCAGAAGAAAAAGATCAACGTTTGGAATTGGCCCAGTCAGAGCCCAGACGAAAATCCTATCAAAAACCTGTGGAATGACTTAAAGAGGGCTGTGCACAGGAGAGCTCCCCCAATTTGATTTATCTGGAGCATTTTTGCAAGAAAGAGTGGGAAAAAAATGCCAAATCAAGATGTTAATTTCTTAGTCTCTTACCCAAAAACACTGAGTGTGTAACCAGGTTATTGTAAGTTCTTTTTCTTTTTATCCCCCTAAAACATTTCTGTTTTTGGCTTGAATTGTGTTGGTTACTATATCACATTAAAAGTGGAAAAAGATCTTTTTCCTCTGAAAGGTTTTTTACATCACAAAAACCTGCAATTATAACAGAGGTGTGTAGACTTTTTATATCTACTGTAGCTAATGAGCCTCTAGCAAGTTCCTGTCATTGGAGTATCTTAGCTAATCATAAATAGTTAGCTAGCTTATAACTCATCAAATGCAGTGTTAAACACAGCTAACTGTCTAGAATTACAATGAGGGAATGCTTTTGGACTAGGTAACCATAAATAGCTAGTAGTGATGTACTATAATTTCATAAAATAAAGTATGAAATAAGCGAAATGTAAAACATAAACGTAAAAGCAAAACAGCTTTCTCCTCAGCAATAATTTGAATGTGCTCAGTCTGCAAGGTGTTAGTCTTCAAGGTGATAAAAAAAATGTCTAAAACTATTTCAACTGATGTGTTATAATGGATTAAAAATGGTTATAAATGTTTAAGGTTTTCAATCGTTATGTGAAAAATGGTTATAAATGGATAGAAATGATTTCAAAATGTTTAAGGTTCTACAAAACAAGGTGTGATGATGGTTATAAAGGGATATAAAAGGTTCTCCAAACAGTGTGACGCAATGGTCATAAATGTGGCCTCATGTCAATCTTTCAGTAAAGTTGTGTGTAAATGTTTGCTTAAGCCAAACTGAACTAAAATTTTCCACTGGATTTACAAACGTTTTCTTCATATTCACTTGTGTATGTTGATCACTCGTAAGGTACAAAGTGAAAAACCCTATAAAAGGTGGACAGATAGCTGGGAGCATAAAATAAATGATAAGGGTAAAGGCTGAAAGGCAGAAGTGGAAGTTCTATGCCAATAAAACTTCTATGCCAATAAAAATATTTGATAATACAAAATAATAATAATAATAATAATGATGCGTGAGCACTAAATCTTCAGCTGAGACATTTGTTTATGGCTTACGGCTGTGCGCAGTGACATTTATACAGCGACATTTCTTTTGTCATAAATGAATGACTAGTTTTATTTGTTTTAATTGATGTAATTAAATTAAGTGCAGTAATTTATGAAAATTATATGATTTTAAGTCATAAACTAAGGTTTACATTAGTTAGTTTTCATATTCTTAAATTTACACACACTCAGGAACATGAGTAGGATACAAATGTTTTTCTGAATTGATAGGATTTTCATATCAAATTTCTAGTGTACATGCTCATAAGAATGATTTATAAATAAATCCACTGATATCCAGCTTGATAAATGAGGTTTAATGTGTGTTAATGGATGGCGTTAATTACACCTTAATTTGTAAGCAAATGTGAAATATTTCACTGTGCAAAATTCCAACAGAATTTTGAGTGAAATGGGGCTGTGAAGGAGCCGCGAGTCCCTTGTTAGTGCAACGCTCTGTTTATTTCACAAAGGGTGCTTTTGGCAAAGTGTGTGTGTGTGTACAGAGAGATTCACAACACTGCCATTGAAGACAAAAACAACAGTTTGACACCATGTGGGTAAAAATACATGCTTAAAAAAGATCCTTTTTGTCATTCTGGCTCTAGAAATTTATAGAGGGTGTTTCATTAATTTTAATATAAAATCTCTGTTTAAAAAGTTCTTGTACACTAGAATATCTCAGTCCAGATGTGGATCTGTAATTGTTGACATGGTTTATTGTGGTATTCAACAAATGTAATATCATTATATCATGAACATGCCTCCATCCACAAAGCTGCTCTGGTGACATGACCATTTTGGGCAAATGTAAAGGAGTATTAGATGTTCTTTTGTTAGAATTCAGTCCTAACAGTTGAATGGCATGGAGAAACCATTGCTCACCATGCACAATGTTTAGTTATCCACACTAAAATAAGGGTTCCTCAAGAGTTATTTGGTTAACAAAGCTTTCTAAAGGGATTCTTCTTGAAAGCATGGCTAACAAGGTTCCTCCAAAGGCATAAAACTAACAACTTTTAGGGTGAGAAACAGAAACTAGCCCTGCCCTTTCTTATGGAAAGGTTTAGCTAAAGATGGCATCAATGTAATGTTGTGATGGTTGTGTTATCCAGAAGTAGGAATTGTGTACTCATTGGGAATGTATCATCATCCAGAAGATCTCAAGACCTCAAGAGGTTGTGTATTGCAAAAAGGAGTGAGCCGAATTGGGGTCCAAGCAGAGTCAGACTTCGAACATCATCCCTGTAGTCAAGAACCTTGATCAGGAGACCAAAAATGGCAACGTGGTCTCTTGGGATCTCATCTTCTGATCATTAACACAGAATCTTGACCATATGACCAATTAAGACAGTGCTGTGTTGGCCTTCTGAAGTCTGATGAGATTATTTCAAGTTCAATTCAGTTTTATATGGATTGCACTTTTAACAATAGATAATGCCACAAAGTGGCTTTACAGAACCTGGATGCACATTTAGATCCCCAGTGAACAAACTAGATGTGACAATATGACAGACTAGATGTGACAGCAGGACAAGCAACATTTGAATTGAGATTTTCTCAGTTATGTGCAAATTATGTATGATATGGGAAAGTGACAAATTGGTTTCCTCAGACCAATCCTATGGCACATGTGGTCCAACGTTTCTTTAGTTCTCCAGTCACAATTGTTCTTCCTGCAATTAGTTCCCATTTACTGTTTCACTCACCATTATGTACCTACTATTGTTTATCATCAGAACTAAAAATATTGGACAGTCCATGCACACAAGCAACAACCATAGCAGTCGCTACACACCCAGAAGAGACAAACTGCAAGAAACATGAGCGACTTGTGACCAAGGGTAATTCTGTATAATTTGGTCAAAACTGACATCCTATTTTACAGACTTCCCCTTTTTCAAACTGGAGAAGAGAATCTGATGACTATGAAAGTGTTTATATGCGCAGATACTTGTGACCCAGGTGCAGAGGTGAGTCATCATTACACATCGGGTTGAATACTGAGAATTCTGAAAGCTCTTTTCATACAGCATGTGAGTAATGCTGTGACCTTTGATCAGCCCACCATGCTTCTGTCTCCATCACCTACAGACAGAAGGAACAGCTCTCTCAGAACCACGGGTTTGGTGTTAAGGCACTTTACAAGCATTTCGATCCTTTCAGCAATGTTCACACTGGCAGTGAATATTCAGTCAAAAACTGAAACTGGCAAAGGTAGGTGTAAAATAAGACTTAATCGTAGTTTTAGCCTTGTGAAAAAAATATTGTTTAGAATTTATTTAGTTTTAATTAGCAAACATTACTTTTTAATCTATATCGGGTCCCTGGAGGTCTAGTGGTTAGGCCACGGCGCTCTCACCCCGTGGCCTGGGTTCGATTCCTGGCCAGGGAACCTACCCCAGCCACTAGGGTTATGTGCAACAGTGTGCTCTCACTGCAGGTCCTAAGCCCAGATAAAATTGGGGAGGGTTGAGTCAGGAAGGGCATCTAGCGTAAAAACTGTGCCAAATCAAATATGCAGACCAGTGATCTGCTGTGGCGACCCCTAACGGGAGCTGCCGAAAGAGGAACAACAACAACTTTTTAATCTATATAAATATGCACATTTGCCAAGCCTCACGAACAAAAAAAAAATTTAACAAAATCATTCTGAATATAATATTAACTAAAAACATTAAAAATAAGAATTGTTTTATTTCAGTTTCTCTAAATTACTGTAAGTCGTTTTTCACAGTGCTGTTTATAGCTGCTATAATGTAAGTGTTAACAGGAGCTAACTGGTTTTACAAACATTCCACAACAGTAAATTAAACCATAAATGAATAAACATGGTGATGTCTTTCTTTAATAAATAAAAATTGTAACTGTTGGTAAATTGCTGTGGTGTGTAACTAATTAAGTTTTACACAGCTGTGAAGGAAAAACATTTAATATCTTCTGATCATGCTGTACTGCAGTGCTTTATTCGACTTGGGGTGAGCTGTCATGTTGAATTTAGCCTTGGTTTGCCAAATAGCTCTTTCAAAATATGTGTGTGTGTGTGTTCATGTAGTCTTCACTGAATCAAAGTCACTCTGACCTCTAAAAACACCCAATGAAATGATGTGTAGCTGAATAAACAGTGTGCAATAAAGTGAACAGGCAAGTCACTATATTCCATTATACAGCACAAATAAAAATGTTACATTTTCATTTAAATTAGGACAAATGACATAAGCGTTTCATCTTGTTTTACATTATTCAGAACTGGAAGAACACACGCATAGCAATGCATTAAACCTGTCACTGTGTGTAAAAAAATGCAAATCATTTTGCAAATTTTTAATATATGATGAAATAATTACTGTCTTTTATAGAAAATGCAGGGTGGTCAATAGGCCTCATTTAAAAATATTTTTAAATAAACTATGGAATTCTGGTCCATGTTGACATGATTGCTTCACACAATTCTTGCAGATTTTTCAGGTGCACTTTCATGCTATGAATCTCCCATTCTACCATATCCCAAAGGTATTCTATTGGATTCAGATCCGGTGACTGGGAAGGCCACTGAAGAACATTGAACTCATTGTCATGTTCATGAAACCAGTAGCCATTAGAAGATGGATAAATTGTGGCACATGGTCGGCTGTGACATTCAAGTGAAGATTGATTGGTATTAATGGCCTGGAATGTAGACACAAGGCAGTTTTGCTCCATGGATTCATGCTGTTGGCACCAAATTCTGACTCTACCATCTGTATGCCTCCGCAGAAACTGAGAAGTGGGACGTGGGAAGTGGTAGCTCAGTGGTTAAGATGTTGGACTTCTGATCAGAAGGTTGAGAGTGCAAATCCCAGCACCGCCAAGCTACCACTGCTGGGCCCTTGAGCAGGGCCCTTGAGCAAGGCCCTTAACCCTCAACTGCTCAGTTGTATAAATGAGATAACTGTAAGTTGCTCTGGATAAGGGCATCTGCCAAATGCTGTAAATGAGATTCATCAGACCAGGCTACATTTTTCCAGTCTTCATCTATCCAGTTTTGGTGTGCCTGTGTCCACTGCATCCTCAGCTTTCTGTTCTTGGCTTACAGTGGAACCCAACATTGTCTTCTGCTTCTGATTGTAGCCCATCCACCTCAAGGTTTGACGTGTTGTGCATTCTGAGATGCTCTTCGGCTCATTACAATTGTACAAAGTGGTTATCTGAGTTACCGTAGCCTTTCTGACAGCTCAAACCAGTCTGGCCATTCTCCGTTATCCGTTGACCTCTCTCATCAACAAGGCCTTCCCATCTGCAGAACTGCCACTCAATGGATGTTTTTTTTTTTCTTTATTGCACCATTCTGAATAAACTCTGGAGACTGTCGTGTGTGAAAATCCCAGGAGATCAGCAGTTATAGAAATACTCAAAACAGCCCATCTGGCAGAAACAATCATTCTACGGTCAAAATCACTGAGATCACATTTTTCCCCATTCTGGTGGTTGGTGTGAACATCACCCAAAGCTGCTTGCCTGTCCTTCACAGTGTTAGCACTGAGCTACTGGACTGCTTGTGGCTATATTTATCATTTTCTCCACACATATATTATCTTCCAAATTTAACACGTAATCTGACTAAACAATATTTCCAAATGAAAAAAGCCTTACTTTCTGATTCTGTGATAATATACAGGGACTTTGTGACTAATATACAGAGTTTTGTTTGTTTATTAACTACAAATGTTTTCTGTAATTAGTGAGTTAGTGAAGGAGGAAACCAGTCAGACAGCTGAGAATGATTTGACAGCACTTGCAGAAATCACTTGCATCGTAAAACTTTACCAGCTCTGAATTGCACACAGGTGTCAGCATTTCATTTTGTCTGCACTGTTTTTGAAAAATAAAGATAACCACTCTATTTTACAGCTGATGTCATCTACACCTCTAATATGGAGATCTGCACCAAATCCACACTTCTTCGAAAGTCTGTTTTCCCCCAATTGAGCTTGGCTTTGAATTTAATTACTGCAATATTCTCTCTCTCTCTCTCTCTCCGTTTTTCCAGCTAATGAAATTTGACTTATTACTGTGAATTGGCGGATGGTTTTATTCATGTTCCAAAAAGAACTGAGGTCCTCTGAAACCCTGACAGTGCTGAATAGCTGAGAAAGAAAAAAGAGGAAGAGGAGAAAAAAGCTTTCATTCTGTGTAATTTCTGTTATTCGCCATGTGCAAGATTGCAATAAAAAAGGAGTTTTTCATGGTTCAGTTTCATAATTGAGAAAATGAAATGAAGCTTAAGTTTAGACTTGTGGCTGGCAGTTGCCATAGCAACGTTTGTCTCTTTTTCTTCATCTCTTTCTTTCTGTGAATCTGCTTTAAACTGCTTCAGGTCAAAGCTTAGCATGTGTAAATATTACATTTCCTAGAGAAAATGATTTTGAACTGTAACTCACTGTAGCTACTCACTGGGAATAATTATGCTAATTAGTTTAATTTAATTGGGCTAATGCAGAAATAGTGTTAATTACACCCCTGACATGTCATCACCATCAAACTGTAAGAATTTAAGAAGTTAAAGTTATTTTTGGGTGTGGGGATAGCACTCTGATTTTCTAAAATCACACTTATTCAATTTTATATCATTCAATATACATTATATTTATTCAAATAAGGCAGTTTGTCATGCTTCCTCAGTGACACATGAAGCCAATGTTCACCCTTGACTTCACCTTTGATGTAAAGGCACAAGACGGATTCAATTAAACGGAATGCAAAATTGAGTTAATAACTAGAAAAACTAAACAGGTCATTACACTGTCAACATGCTAGCCATTGCTAATTTGCATAAACAATATTAAAAGAGTTTGTTTATCAGTGGCTGTTATAGTATGTCATGACTATGCCGGAATTAGCATCAAACTCCATATCCCAGACTGCACCACAAACTACAAACATGGACTTCCTGGACTACAACAATCACACACCATGTTCAATGTCACATTCACAGTCACCAGATTACTGATCACACACTCCAGGACTCAAGCACCACTTCACCTATTTAAGCACACTCCAAACACTCAAACACTGCAAAGTATCTGTTCAGCTCTGTTCATGCGAATGATGTACCAAGGCTTTATTTCTGATTGCTGTTTATGGTTTTGACTCTGGTTTATTATTCCTGTTGGTGATTTTTGCCTTGATCTTTGATACCACTGTTTGTTCATTGCCTAACCTCATGCCTGTCTCTCAACCTTGATTACATCTAGTGTTTTGGATCTGTTTTTTTGCTTGCCAGTCTTTTTAAATATAAGCATTTTCCACAACAGTTGCCTTCTCTGCTGCCTGACACAGTACTGTAAATCGTAATATGCTCCTACATTTTTTTTTTAATTTATAAATTATCAATTATTTCTATCATTATCACTTCATGAATTATGTTCATAACAGTTCTAACATGTCTAGCATGATTTATAAGAAAACATCACGTCTTGTTTTAGTATAACATCTCAAAGAATAGTTTAAACTTTGTTCATTTTAATCAGAGTATTCAATCTCTGCGATGTGAACTAAAAACATGGACAAATCAGGTTTTGTATGTAGGACTTTCCAAAAATAGAAAGGTCAGAGCATCAGAGTACAGGAACTATCAAGATCCATCATCACAATCCCAGGAGTCGGAAAATACACAAGAAAGAGGGACCAAGGTGTCATGAAATTTAGCATTATATACTAAATGCTAATTCATAACTAAAAGTCATTGATGAAATATAACAGAAATTGTGGTTTAGTATGTCATAATGAAAATGGCATAAACATTGTTGAATATTTAGTAGTGAGTATATGACCCACTAACTAACAGACTAATTAGTGGTTATCATGAAATATGGTTTAAATATGACTGAATAACTGATCCCAGGGCTTGTTTGTTTTTTAGAGCAAATTTTAGGTGCTTGAATATTTGGGACTTTTTAGAATATCTGATGTTCTAGTAAAATCACTGAAGCTCTTAGAAATGCAAGGTTTATTTTTTTGGGGGGGGTTTTAATGCATTTTATTTTTACCCTTTAAAACTGCATTAAGATGACTCTGGTAATAAAAATTAGATTTTTCTCACATTGTTGATGTGAAATTTGGGGAAAATGATGCTGTCATGATTTTTTTTTTTTCATACACGCAGATGTAAATAGAAAAATTATTAACATTAACCTGCATAAATTCATACATTCATTCATACATTACTTAAAAATAAAGAAAAAAAATCAAGAAAAAAGTCAAAAATCCTCCTGAAATAAACAGTAGCTGCTTTCCCACAGGGCAAAGGCAAAGTATAAGTTCAGACAGTGTATCTATGATGGACAGGACCATTTCTACTGTAAGATACACTCACTATCCACTTTATTAGGTATACCTGCATATTCATGCAGTTAT